TGACAGTTTTAAGCCCCTGTTGTTCCTGATACGCCCAGTAGGGGGAGAAGGATATACGGCGAAATAACGTAAAAAGACACTGAAAACAAACACATTAATAACCGTCCCGACTTTTACTAATTTGTAGGTATTTGTTTATTTAAATAAACGTTATAGACAGTGGAGTTATCTGCACTATAAGGATTAAAACATCCAGATGTTCAGTTGGGCTTCACTCTTCACTCAACCTACAGAAGATTTGTTTTTGTAAATTAAAAAAAAATATTAGGCTAATATACACATAGTTGGATGAGATGGACAAAGTAATGATATTTGACCTACTGTAGAATTAATTGTTTTTAAACTGTTTTATATACAGGAAACTGACTGATATATGTTGTTGTGGACTATATAAAGTTACATTTATGTATTAACCATATTTAGCCTTTAGATATGCAGTACTGTATATGGATCCTTAATGAAATATCTGCTGTAATATTTACAATTGGTCATCATACAGCTAGAACAGTGTCCTACATAACATTTAATGAAGACAAACACAATTTAACCCTTTTCTAAAATTCCAAGGGCCATTTAAAAGAAAGAGACAATTCACAAAAAAAGGTTATTTATTTACAAAAGAAGCTAAAGTTGAATAGTGGTAGAAACAATGGTTATAAAATAATGGCACAATGTCATGGTTGAACATTTTTTGGGGGTTCAAAAGATGGGTGTTTATAAAAGTTTAGAGACAGAGATTTTAATTTTCTTAAGTAGCTAAAGCAGATACACACCTTAATGAGATACAAGTTAAAAAGAACTTAAGACAGAGTATGATAAAACACACATTAAGTGCACATACATTTTAGTCCAGATCAGTAAGCTATTTTAAGAAAACTGTATGATATACATTAGAAAATTAGATCGTCTCATTTATAAAAAAAAACAACTTAACCAAAATATACATTTAAACCATATGGGCCAAAGTTTTTAATGTGGGCTTAATGCATTATGTTTGTATGTATTATGTTTGTAAAACAAAATATTAGAATGAGTGTGCAGTTTGAATCTTTACTTAGAGAGATTTTCATTCAAATACATACATACATGCATACATACATTCATGCCTATTATAAATGTGTTTGTGTACACATCATAAACTGTAATTAACACATTTCCAATATCCACTGTGATGTTGCTCCAGAAACCACGTGGAGTAGGCTATGTTTAAATGCAAGGAGTAAACTGGGTCTTACCAGTCGATGCCATGTCACGCAAGGTAAAGACAGACAAGATAAAAATAAAAATTAAATGAATTTTAAAAGTGAGTGAGACAGAGCAGATAAAGAGAAGACTAGGGCAGCCTTTAAATCTATATGTGGTTAAGTTTGCTAAGTTTGAGCCAGACAGAACATCAACCTGACCATGAAGTAGCCAACTTTTATTGTCTCTCGAAATAATAGACTTTATTACAGTTTTTTACAATCTCTTTTTTACTATTTTCAGAACCTTGATGTCATTTTTCAAAACTCTAGACACAAAACTCACAACCAATGATCAAAATGCACATTTTAAAAACTCTAACCCTTTTCTCAATTGCTTGGATACAATATACATAAAACTTAGATCATTTGTTCATTCAACAAAAATCACCTGTTCAATATGACACAACTTCAAAGTACTACTATTTCAAAAGGCAATTCACACATTACATTTCAAATGAGTGTCTATTCATTTCCTTACAATGATCTAACTATCAAATGATACAACTGCTCAAAATGATAAGTAACTGCTGCGTTACTCTTAATGCATGACACACAATCTTCCATGTTTACAGTAAATCATGAAAGTTTCAAGATAATGAGATTCAATAAACCTATGTTGTTATTGTAGTGTTTTGCATCAATATATCACACACTTTGTTGAATGATTCCACTATGTGTGTATTCTCTCTACTACTGCAGTACTGCTTTACAGAGATGTGTTACTGTGCCATAATGAAACCTGTATCACCTATTTTGTTCTACAACATTTAATGATTGTACGAAAAATGACAGTGAAACTATTGGTTGCTTGTGTGTGGGTGATAGTTTTGTTTAGGTCACAGTAAATTTGTTTGTTTTTTTATCCAATGAGTGTGCAAGATTTCTTTAAAGATGTGAATGCACTATGCAATGTTTTGAACATTAGACAGCCTGTTTTACTTACAAGTGATAACCGTTTTGAGTTTTGTGTCTAGAGTTTTGAAAAATGACATCAAGGTTCTGAAAATAGTAGCAAAGTGATTGTAAAAAAACTGTAAATGATAGACCTATCTTTTGAATTGACATCGAATCTTAGCTTATCGTTTAGAAATAATCAATATTGTATCATTACAATTCAATCAACAATAATAAATTTAGCAGATTATTTAAAATACCTCAATTCATGTCGCTTCTAGAAGGTCTGATGCTATAGATCTGTAATGAAATAGGACTAGGTACTAAGTAGGACTAATAGGAGTAGGACTAATAACGTCATTAGTGTAGTCTCCCCCTACTGGACGCATCAGGAACCACAGGGGCTTAAAACTGTCAAGGGCGTAAAACTGCCGGCTCCAGGTCTGCAGCCTCCCCCTACTCAAAAAATGCAGACGAAATGGCAAGAACAAAAGCACTCTGGATTCTGGAAAAGAAGAGCAAGCAAAAAACACTCCTGTCCTGTCTCCTGCTTAATTCTGATTGTTCAGTGATTTCCAAAAAAAAGTGTTAACTTTCATTTACGGATGGACAAAATAAAATTTTTCGTCTGCATTCCCTAAAGCATCGTAAGCGTAATAGAGGGTCTGCATTAACGCCACTTTCCCGCGGGAACATACACCCCCGGTTTTCTGTCGATTTTTGCTGCCTTGTCGAAAAATGCTACCTTAGCGCGAATTGAGCACAGAATGCCGGTTAAAGTCGTATGACATACAATCAGTGTTGTGCAAGTTACTTCCAAACTGTAATACATTAGGTATTACTTGTTACTGTTATTTAAAAGTAATTCATTACCTTACAATATTACTGTCCCAGAATTGTAATGCGTTACATTACTCATGTATTACTTTTGAGTTACTTTCACCAAAATAACTAAGTAGAACTTAACTTTTGGGCTGTAACGATATGCAATATGAAACCGAAATCGCCATTCGCCACACGACTCAGATCAACGAACCTACACAATCGCGACACACCTCTTCCAACTCCAGCGTTATTCTCCTTACCGTCCAGATCCAATGCTGCCTTATCTTTAAATTAGGCTATTAGTATTATTTGAAGTTAACATTATAAAATACGTAGACCTACACCACAAAACTAGTTGAGGATAAATTATTTAAAATTGGGGAAGTCCAGCATTATGGACATGACATTTGCAGTCAAAACTTGAAATAAAAATTCTCAGAAAATACATGTATTGAAACGTATGTAGGCTACTTCCTTAAAGGACTCCAGACATTAGACAAATATCAGTCTATGTTTTATTTTTAATATTAGGGAAAAGACACACATTCATGCGTGACAAAAAAATAGGAGGCAAAATCGATTTTTTGTAATTCTGTTAATTACACTGCGCAAATCGGATGAGGAAGGGTTGGCTTTCCAGTCTCTATAGAACTTAAAATATTCATTTTATTTTAGTTTTCGTGTTCGCATTTATGAGGAAAAAACAATGTTACAGACGCGACCGCTCTGAACTGGCACTAAAAGACTGCTTTAAAACTTTCACATAGTCTGTTGCCTTTAAGAAGTAAAAGCAGACAATACACTGTAATACAACTGTAATACAAGCCTCACTGAACATGTAACGAGTAAAATATTACTGAAAATTGATTAGTAATGCCTTACACTACTGCGTTACAGCAAAAAGTAATATGTTACAGTAATGTATTACTTTTGTAATGCGTTACTCCCAACACTGCATACAATTATAATACAATTCTAAGTTATGAGTAGCTACTGTAGACTACTGTTTTTATTTTGAAAACGGTGTGAAAAGTAAAAATTATCATAAAATATTCATCTTTGACTTGTAAAAAGTACACCTTTCCTCATAGTAACAGAAACTTTCAGTTATTCTTTTTCAGCTGGCTGACCGTAAATATTCATATGGTAGTAAGCATTTTTTAAAGGGAAATTATACATTATAACAGGAAAATGTACCTTTTATAAAAAAAAAAAAACAACTGTGAGTCTGCACATGCGCATAACCGGTAAGTAGCAAATCTCGATGGGTAGCATGAATCTTCAGAACACCTGACTGAGTGGCAGAAGAGCTGCTGTGTTACTGGATTTAATAGAGGAAACTGCGAAAACACAAGGAAAACAATCGATTATCAGTTTAAACTAAAGGTTGGACTCGATATAGTGTTCCTTACAGCTCCCCAAAGATCCAGTGAATCATATTGACATGCAGCCATCATGTTTCCTGACATTTACGATGGGGAAATGCATACAGCAAATTTGCCTTTGAATGCTTTATATAGGTAGGTCTAAATCCAGGTGATCACTTATATCAATATCCAGCCTTAAAACTTGTATAGTTTTTTGTGAGTATTTATTTAAAAACGTCCAATTATTCAGAATATACAATGGTAAATATTTAATTGATGAGTTGTCAATACAATATAGTGTATGATTTTACACCTAAATTCAGTAAATGATAACTGCAAATCCATCTTTCGCTGCCTGGATTGCAGCGATTCATTTGCTTCTCTGTTCTGTAGCAGTCTGTAAAAATACACCTCACATTTCTTGTCAAATCTAGTTGTTTTAGTTTTGTGTGTTTTCGCGGCATTCACACTGAAAACCAATGCTGCCTCTCAGTCTTTCTGCCGCTCAGTCACTCTGGCCGACAGTGACGTCATCTGCATAACCTCTTTTGATTGGACCATTGGTGCCAGTTCTTTCTACCATCTACTCAAGTTTGGTCTGACTCTGAACAGCCCGTTTCTCTCAGAGTGGCAGATCCATCCAACATGTATCATTTCATGTCATTTCCAGACTACAGTGTGACGGCAAACTCCAAACTGGTGGTTGTGACTGCTGGAGCCCGTCAGCAGGAGGGCGAGAGCCGCCTCAACCTCGTCCAGAGGAACGTCAACATCTTCAAGTTCATCATCCCCAACATCATGAAGTACAGCCCCAACTGCATCCTCCTGGTGGTCTCAAACCCAGGTATGACACAACGGCTGTCCAGTGAGACCAGCGCTGGCATTTGCAATGAATGGTTTTAGTTGACCGAACCGTAAACAAATGTTCTTGTCTTCAGTTGACATCTTGACTTACGTGGCCTGGAAGTTGAGCGGTTTGCCCAGGAACCGTGTGATCGGCAGCGGCACAAACCTGGACTCGGCTCGTTTCCGTTACCTGATGGGAGAGAAGTTGGGCATCCACTCATCCAGCTGTCACGGTTGGGTGGTCGGAGAACATGGAGACTCCAGCGGTGAGGACAGCAGAGCACAGATGTGTTTCAAGAGCGCAGTGAATACATGTAAACATCCCTCTTCTCTTTCAGTTCCCGTGTGGAGCGGCGTCAACGTGGCTGGTGTGTCCCTTCAGAGTCTGAACCCTGACATAGGAACCGATAAAGACGAGGAGGACTGGAAGAGCGTCCACAAGATGGTGGTTGACAGGTACTTTGCAACCAGACGTCCATACAGTGCTTTAGTACTTAACACTAATATTCGTCTCAGAACGACATAGAGAAGGTTTTAGGGAGAGAGGCCAAGTGTTAAGAGTCGTCTCTTTTCGTTTGTATATGCTCTGTAATAAATGTATACTATGTGTCGCCATTAGAAAGCCTATAAATCAAGTCCTTGCGTAAATGTATTTAGTCTGGACTCGTGGATGTTTATCGGTGTTTAACGCATAAATCTGGTTTGCTTTGGCAGTGCATATGAGGTTATTAAACTGAAGGGTTACACTTCCTGGGCGATTGGTATGTCTGTTGCTGACATGTGTGAAAGCATCTTGAAGAACTTGCACAAGTGTCATCCAGTTTCTACTTTGGTCAAGGTGAGATTCTCACGTTTATTTTTGGTTGACCTGCGGTCTTCATTAACGAAATATTGTGAAACATATTTCTTTGTAGTAGAGATGTATATAATATTAAACTCTGTCCCAAAACCGGCGTTTTATGACAAAATATACAACTACCTTCTAAGGCAGCATCAAGTGAGTGATTATGGACCGCAACTCCTCATTCAATGTAAACTTAAAGCACACAGAAGAACTAACAGTTCCAGTTGGTTCCAGTTGATCTTACGTTAGCATGTTGCTAAGCTAACAATCTTGAGTAACAATGTACTGATCTGAACAACTCTTCATGGACACAAATGGAATAAAAGAATTTAAAAGTTTATTGTGACTTTATCTCACTATTTTGACTTCCGAATTGCGAGATATAAACTTGCAATTCTTTTTTTTTTCTTGGAATTGCGACCTTTTTTTTCTCACAAATCAGGTTATTTAACCATCCAATTTCTAAACGGTTTTATTAAAGGAGAACTCCGGCGCAAAATGAAGCTTTGGTCTAATAAAACATTGGTACATAGTCAACCGTTCTCTGAGATTTGTTTTCATGATAATCAAATGTAAAGAGTTTTCTCTCTAAAAACTGTTTAGCGTAACGCTAGTAATGGGGGCATTTACTAAGTAAAAAGAAATCGCTAGTTTATACCACTAACAAGGCTCAAAATAGCCCCACACTAACACAGTAGCATAATGAGGGTCCGTACATGCAAAACGAAGCATTGATAACTTTGTAAGTGTAACAGACAGTTTAATAAGAAGATATTTTATAAAGACAGTTCACTTCGTGTATACAGACAGGCGCCATCTTAGAAAACAGTCTCGACAAGTCGAACCACGAACAACGTGCTGAGTGATCTGAACTGTATGAAGTTCAGCGATCTTCTGAACTGGATGAATGGCGTTCGTGGTTCGACTAGTCAAGACTGTTTTCCAAAGATGCCTTCTGTCTGTATACACGATCTTTATAAAGCATCTTCTTATTAAACATTCTGTACACTTACAAAGTTCTCAATGCTTCGTTTTGTATTTATGGACCCTCATTATGTTACTGTGTTAGTGTGGGGCTATTTTTAGCCATGCTAGTGTTATTAACTAGCGATTTCTTTTTACTTATCAAATGCCCCCATTACTAGCATTATACGCTAAACTATTTTTAGAGATAAAACTCTTTACATTCGATTTTCATGAAAACAAATCTCAGAGAACGATTGACTAGGTACCGATGTTTTATTAGACCAAAGGTTCATTTTGCGCCGGAGTTCTCCTTTAAATTGAAAAAGTTGCCAAGTTCCCCTTTAAAGGGCACATTAGTACACTTGCTCCATGCACTTTAGACCATGAGCTTAGATCCTTAAAATAGGGCCCTCAGTGTTCATATATATCATAATAGACATATCCCGCCTCGACTGTCCATCATTTTGGCCTAAATGCTTCTCAGAGTTTGTCACAGTGTGTGATTTCATTATCCTCGAAGGGTACAGCTTACTGAGATTTGGAACAAATCTATAAAATGCCTACAGGGCACTATTGTTTGACATTTGTTGTGTATTTACAGGGAATGCATGGTGTGAATGACGAGGTCTTCCTCAGCATACCTTGCATCCTGGGTAACACTGGCCTGACAGATGTTGTCCACATGACCCTCAAACCAGACGAGGAGAAGCAGCTGATGAAGAGCGCCGAGACCCTGTGGGGCGTTCAGAAGGAGCTGACCCTGTGAACCGCCACCTTGTCCAAAATGTAGCCAGTGTCACAAAGTACAAACCTCAATGAGTCCTGCCTCAATGAGTCCAATCTCCTGACTTCATAAACCTCACTGCTTTTAACCATTAGAAAGCCAGTCTCGGACCTTTAGATTGTAACACTCCTTATTTTAGAGGTTTTAGCTGCAGAGGGGAAATCGTTTATTCCTTTTGTCTTTACAGAGATCATCAACCCTTTGTAAACGTTTGTGTCTATGTGCGTACTATTGTTATTCGAGAAAGAAGCACTTGCGAGTAGGATGATGTGCAATTTGAGTATTTTATTCCTATCTGAGGTCAGCTAGCATTCCGTACTTGCATCACGCTAATGATAATTTCACCAAGACCAACACGTAAAATCAAAGCTGTTTCAGTTTTATAAAATATCATTGTGTTTACATGTTCTATAAAACGATAACTTTCAAAAAATAGCTCAATATACAAACTTGTCGACGCCAAGTTCAATTGTTACAGTACATTAAATGTGACTGCTAATGTCAGGCTGGTTGTAAGTGATTTTAAATTGTCACGTTGAAATTAATGCTTGGAATGATTTTGCGATCAGAATTTCTACATGAAATGAGACAATTAACCGAAAAATGGCTTACACAATGATTTTGAATTGTCGAGTGGAATGTGACAATTGACATTATTTAACAAATTATTTAGAAATTGGTGGTTGAGCTGTATGTAATTGTTCAATTTGTATTAAAATTGCTTTAATTTCTTTTTATTTAATGAATTAATTTAAAGTAATTTTAAAGTAATTAATTTAAAGTAAGTGTTAAAAACTACTTGTAATTGGTGCAAGTATGTATGTATGCATCAGCTGGAAACAAAATGCTGTTGTCGTATTTTTATTTCCGTTAGTGTTGGTCCATGAGAACGGCGCACTCCAGCCGAGTGGTAAATGCACAGCGTTGGTTATAGCCGTTACTTGAAGCTTGTGACTGTACAATCGAGATGCAGCCTGTAACCAAATAAACAATGTGACTAACTACAAAAGCTGTTTTTCTGTGTTTGTACTCTAGACATAATAGCTACATCGAAACAAACTGGGTTTGTGAACCATGTTGTTTAAATAATCTGTCAAAAGTGTATTAGAGCATTTCCAAATGTGCATTAAATAGAATTAATATAAGGCTGGTCTTGAGTTTAATACCTCAAGGTCAAAATACAAGTTGGCACAGTGGGACCTGCCAACCATTTATTACACACACTAATATGAAAACATGAGGCAATTGCTGACTGTTCACAAATCTATCAAGATGTTATTTTATTTGATCTGCTTGACAATCTATAGCCTGGAACAAATATTAGGGGGGAAAGTCTCTACGAAACAGCAACGCAAGTCTTAAAAATGTAATTCACATCCCAAAAGTGCATTAAAACAATTGCAACTGAAATCCAACAGGTAAGGGAAAAAAAAGCTTCTAAAGAATTGTTAATATTTTAAACCCATTTAGAAGAATAAACAGTCAGAAATTTTAAAGTACAGTACAACAGTTTATAGCTTTTCAGTATTCAAAACAAACATTATTAGTAGCAACCCATACTTTGTATACAACTAAATGATTTACAGTTATAACATCATAACAATAAATCTGGAACACCAAATAGTTCCCAATTGTGACGATAAATAATAAATCCAGCAAAATAAATGTAATAAAATTGAAATATTGAACCATAAGTCATCACTGTTCACTGTGAATCTCAAGAAATGTCATATTTTACCCCAAAATAAAAGGAACAATAAATTATATTTTGCATAAAGTAAATGAAGTCTATTTTTAGACAGTTACTTTTTTTGCATTGTGATATTAAAGACATTTTTCAAAAATTCACAAAAAATATGATTAAATGTAATGCTGATTTTATCTTTTTTTATTATTTTATTTATTTATTTATTTATTTTTTAAGTAATCAAAAATGCTTGGACCGGATATATTTTATTAATGTGTTACAGTAGTAACAATAAGAATTTATTTTTCTCATGTACTTAACTGTCATGATAATGCCACAATGTAAAAAAACGGAATAGTCTAAAAATAGGTTTAATTTTTTATGCAAAACGTACATTTCTCTTTTCATTTTTGGGGTGAATTTCCCTGTGATTCACGTAGGTATGAAGTATGACAATAAATTGTAACAGTGCCTGAATGAAAATAGGAGTAGCTATCCACACATTTTTATCACATATTACCTGTGGATGTCTCATTTTAAATGCATCACTCTGTACGGTTAATACAAATATCTAAAGCCAAAGACGCAAACACCTGCCAGTTTAACATGAGAAGCTCAAATGAAAGAAGGAACATAATGTCTATGACGTATCATTTACTTCTAATTCTCAGAGCTAGTTTTGACCTTTTAGTGTTCAAATATCCAAATCAAGGAGGTACAGTAGCTAAAATTCTCACTGAAGTAAAATATCATAAACCGGTGAGCTCCCACTGACCCAGATCAGAGTCCGGGTCATATGATCAGCGCTGGAGTGTCAGGAGGAGAATGCATTGGTGACGGCAGGCTCAGTAAAGGTCACTCAGTCCAGCGGTCTTCCTTGCTTTCTGCATGAGCGCCCGCAGCTGGAACTGTTTTCGGGACAGCAAGCGCACATGCTGAGGACAAAAACAGGACGATGTCAAACATAACATTACCAAGAAAATCAAATACAGGAGAACAAATGGCAAGTCTGTGCCAAAACTATTGTTCTCTGAAAAAAAGAAAGAAATGGAAAGACCTTGAGGAAGACCTCCAGGTCGATGACTCCTCTCCGCAGGGCTTCTCCCAGGTAAAAGATGGTGTCCTCTATAGCGTTCTCCTCTGCATACAGGTTTAGGATTTGCTTGTAGAGCGGGGCTGTTGGTATGATCACGTCATCAATGTCATTGTTTTCTGATTGGTTCTCCATCTTCTCCAGGGCTTCGCTCAGTTCCTCGTCCTTCTTCTTGAGGAGCTCAATGTTTCGGTCCACCTCAGCCTGAAGGTGTACAAACACACGTCTAACGTCATGCTTCTACAAAAACTGTGGGATCTCAATACAGAATTTGGGAAGAACCACCTTCCTTATGGAATAATTGCAAACGTTCTTACCACTTCCTGGTCCAGGCGGGACACCATGTCTTCCAGCTTCTGGTGTCCTTTCTTCAGGTCTTCCTCTGTCCTCTTCAGGGCGTCCAGCTCGGCTTGCGCTCTGTCCATCTCCTCCTTCATTCTCCAGCGCAGTTTATCACTCACAGCTGAGATTAGCGACGCTCGGATGGTGTCCTCACCGATGGTACCATCACGACTTGGACCTGGAGCGAGAAGACAGAGACACAAATTTAGTGGCACAGTTTTTTTAGAGATAGCCAAGGTTATAAAAGTTTGATTCCTAAGAAATGCATGAACTAATAAAATGAATACACTACACTGAATGCAATGTAAGCTGCTTTGGATGAAAGCATCTGCTAAATGTAAATATAATGGGATCGACTGAGTCTCATTCACTAACCATGCGTTCTCACTTACGAGCAAATCATGATTCATCAGTAACTTTCATTCTAAATTTAAATCTAAATTTACAAAAAGGAACTGAAACCAGACATTATGCAAAAACACTGCAAAAAACATGCAAAAAGACTATTTATATAGAGACATGCCACTTCCTCAATCCTTAATACAAATGTATAGGGAAAACCCGTAACACCAAAGATGGCGGTTGTATGCAAATGCCCCGCCCCTCCCGCTGGACAGCCAATCGTCTGCTTTTAACGGTCAAGCTGGGAAACATTCAAATACGTTACTGTTTGAAAAGGCAGCAGATTTGATATGCAGTGTATGTGTGCGTTGTGTAAATATCAGACATCCCAAGTCTCCCAGAAGTTCCGGGTGTCTCCCGCAGATTGATAGAGGCTCGCTGATGCCCGCAAGTTAGTTAAAATCTCCCGGAATCTAGAGCGAGCAAGAGCGCGCACATACTGTTTCAAACTGTGAAGCTTGCAAGTATAACAAGTATAACCTGTGGGAAAACGACGTTTTAAACCTTATTTTAGGGCAAAGTCATCAAACTTTTTCAGCGATTTTTATTACATTTTACTGTTGTTTCTATACATGCAGTTTTTATGTCCCGGTGACCAGTGAAAGTGCAGTTCTGACTCTCTGCCCATTCATTTAGATAGAGCCTGGTCTTGTTAAGTCCGAAATAGTTGCCCGGAGGCGTTGCCAAGATGGCGGCCGAAAGGCATGACTTGCCTGAAAGGACTTTGGCAAAAATCATTTGCTATGGGTGGTCTTTTAAACATTTAGATGAAATGACATCCATTTTTAATCTTTTTGTATCTTATTGTTTACAATATATATTGTGTTATTATAAAACCACAGTATATCGTCAAAAGTTTTGGGACATCTGCCTTTGCATGCACATGAACTTTAATGACATCCCATTCTTAATCCAAAGGGTTTAATATACACTCACCTAAAGGATTATTAGGAATACCTGTTCAATTTCTCGTCAATGCAATTATCTTATCAACCAATCACATGGCAGTTGCTTCAATGCATTTAGGTAGGGATGGGGCCGATCCGATCCAGTATCGGTATCGGGACCGATACCAGCATAATTCACGTATCGGATTTTTCCGATCCAACCTGCGGAGAAATCCGATATTTATGATCCATGTCTGCGCTTTAACGTTGTCTGCTGAAATGACTCCAAAAGTGATTCCCGCCGGGCCTGCTAGTCTGCTATAGCTGGCTGCAAACTGTGGAATGGATACCCTGAACGGAGGTGCAGCTCAATCAGTGACTGTAAAACATAGGGCTCAATGAGACACACCCCCGCTCAGGAAATCCATTCCGCAGTTTGCAGCCAGCTAGCAGGATAGCACTGAGCTATAACATGTTCGCTGTGTGGAAATCATATGGTGGAACTGGAAACACCGCTGCAGTGCAGAGCAAGACAGCAAAGTGCAATGTTTGCAAAGCCGTATTAATTAAACTATTTGATGCATGTTTGCAATTCGCAGTCCAGAAGAGAAAGAGAGAGATCTCTCACGCGGTGCAACAGCAAGCACAACATGACAGCCCGGCGTAATGAGTGACGACAGAGGAAACGTAGCCTGGTTACACTTTAGATCTGTGATATTAGTCTGATTTCCAAATATTAAAGAATATATTGAGGTAAAAAAAAAAAACATTAAAAACAATAGCCGCATGCTGTCTAGCCAACTTCCTTCCCATCGCGGCGGTGCACTGTCATTTCTCCCTAAAACTCAAACTTTAATACAGAATCAGCACGATCGATGATTGTAGTAAAATGCAGTCTCTGCTGTTACTAAATTGCGGGACGCTTTTAATAATAAAAAGAGCTATTAAAAGCACAAAATTTGCGCAAGAGATGCTGTTCCCAGTGCGGCGCGCTCCGAAACAGACCGCAACAAGACAAGCAAATTATACTCTGGGCTTCATATGCGCGTCTAAACGATCAAACGTAGCCTGCACAAAAATGTCAAACCGACCGACTTGGAGATTAACACTTAAACAATTTATTATGTCTAAAATGAACGTAGTTATGGAAATATTTGGGAGAAAATATGGTGCATCAGTAGACTATGAAATCTGAACTCGTTCTTAAAGGGGCAGCAGTATAAATGTGACGATTGCGACATTACTGAGAATCAAACAACCAAAGGCAAAGAGAAAATCACTCACAGCTCTTGAATGAATTACTTCAGCTTTAATAAGCATAAATCTATCTATGATAAACTTTGCAGTGCTATTTTACTTTTGATTACTTTATTATAATTCTTTAAGACCATACCTGAATAATGTTTGTAGACCTTCCTGAAATTAAAGCACTGTGTAGGCCTGTATAATGTGTATCTTTGTTTAATTGTCTATCTATTGTTTAATATATATATATATATATATATATATATATATATATTTATATATATATATTGACATACATACGTACATATCATCCTTGCCTGTAGAGAGGAGTTTATTTCAGCATCATATAAAATCAACAATAATGATAAATACTATTAAAGCAAACACAGCTCTGGTATCGGAAAAGTATCGGTATCGGCCGATATCCAAAGTCAGGTATCGGGATCGGATCGGAAGTGAAAAAATGTGGATCGGTGCATCCCTACATTTAGGGGTGTGGTCCTGTTCAAGACAATCTCCTGAACTCCAAACTGAATGTCAGAATGGGAAAGAAAGGTGATTTAAGCCATTTTTAGCATGGCATGGTTGTTGGTGCCAGACGGGCCAGTCTGAGTATTTCACAATCTGCTCAGTTACTGTGATTTTCACGCACAACCATTTCTAGGGTTTACAAAGAATGGTGTGAAAAGAGAAAAACATCCAGTATGCGGCAGTCCTGTGGGCGAAAATGCCTTGTTGATGCTAGAGGTCAGAGGAGAATGGGCCGACTGATTCAAGCTGATAGAAGAGCAACTTTGACTGAAATAACCACTCTTTACAACCGAGGTATGCAGCAAAGTATTTGTTGAGCCACAACACGCACAACCTTGAGGCGGATGGGCTACAACAGCAGAAGACCCCACCGGGTACCACTCATCTCCACTACAAATAGGAAAAAGAGGCTACAATTTGCAAGAGCTCACCAAAATTGGACAGTTGCCTGGTCTGATGAGTCTCGATTTCTGTTGAGACATTCAGATGGAAGAGTCAGAATTTGGTGTAAACATAATGAGAACATGGATCTAGGGCTGGGCGATATGGCCAAAAAATCATATCTCGATATTTTTTGGTCAAATGGCGATATACGATATATATCTCGGTACTTTCTACGTTTTCTATTTAGATAAAGAAAATCTTTATATTTAAAAAAAAAAAAAAAATATATATATATATATATATATATATATATATATATATATATATATACATATATATATATTCACATTCGGCCCAATGATATCCTACAAACAATGTTGATATTGAAGGATATGGAAACAAATATAATATAGGCTATGCAATATTATGTGCAAAAAGCTTTTGTTTTTATATTGACTAAAGGCTAAACTAAAAATGAAAATAAAAACAAAAGCACAAACTAATTATATTAGCCTGCATTTGATTACCCCATTATAATCACTTTCACTTTCATTAAAAATATATACTTGTAGGTTTAAAATTCCACATATGGCACATTTATTTTCTCCAACAACAAATATTTTAGCAATATGTTTATTTTAGTCAGAATTATTGCGTACTACGTAGTACTATTCACGCGCATGCGCGCGCCGGCGCTTGTTCAAGGAAGCATGAATTTTAGCGGAGATTCACTTGCAGAAACTCGTCCTCTTCTGACATGGACATATTTGTTGTGAAATGGACATATTTGCTTTACTTTCTAACTTTTACAGATGGAGAATATACCTGTGAAATGTACGTTGAGCACTGAGGAAAGCACCACATCTCAAACGCATTAAACAGCGCAAGTATATCTGTCAGTCAGCAACAGTGTCTGTCAGAGCATTTGACAGGGCGGCAAGCTGCCTTAAACTTGTTAAATATATCAAAGTGATTTTGACGCAATTAATATAGCTTGTGTCATGTTTAGGACAAATTGTACTACGTAGCCTAGCTACTTTCACTGCAGCAGCTCACACTGCAACCTCCGCTATTTTTCAGATGTGCTCATATCAAACTACTGTATCGATATAAACGGTATTGCCTCATTCCATATCGTTTCAAAAAATATAACGATACATCGTACAAACTCGATATATCGCCCAGCCCTGATGGATCCATCATGCCTTGTTACCACTGTGCAGGCTGGTGGTGGTGTAATGCTGTGGGGGATGTTTTCATGGCACACTTTAGGCCCATTAGTGCCAATTGGGCATCGTTTACATGCCACGGCCTACCTGAGCATTGTTTCTGACCATGTCCATTAGGGGTGTAAGAAAAAATCGATACACTTGAGTATCGCGATATTTTATTTTGCAATAATGTATCGATTTTCAGAAACGCAATATCGTTTTTTTTTTTTTTTTTTTTTTGGCTATGCATAGACACACCACTAGCCTAACGTTTTGCTAGAAACAACATAGTTATGGCTGAACCTCGTGTCAAGACCGGCTCCTGCTCTATGCCTTTCGGCATGTTAATCAATGAGTGCGTTCATTCACACTGCAAGCAGTAGCCGCGCGTAAGCGTCGAGGCTCGAGCAGGACAGTCGCGTGAGCAACAGTGAAACTGGGGTTTCCGCGGAGAGTCTATAAGGGCGTCGCACACCAGACGAGAAGCTCAGCACCACATCTTTAAAATTCGAACACAT